CCAATTCCTTTCGATACAGACTCAGTATATTCTTTCCATCTTCTTTTAATACTAGCATCTTAGGGGTAAGGAATTGTGCTGCCAACCCAAAAATACATGGTTTGAATCCTCCAGTTGCTGCCCAGGAAAGGTTGGTCAACTCCTCCTGTGCAATTAACTGCCTCTGAAAACCCACTAGAGGGTCACCTATGACTTGGTTACAACTCTATGGTACACCCCAACAACCAACTGCAGAAAATATGGCCATATTCTAACAGAAATGAAGAGGGACCTGTTCAGGAACAAAATGTAACCTATATGTACACCAGGTATTACCCCCTCCCCCACAAACATATAAAAAGTGAAAACAGGACAGTCACAGTATTTTTTTTAGTCACAGTATTTTTAAAAAATAGTAAACAATAAAGAGTTCCTTATCACAAGCAGTGTAACTTACTCTTTTTTTTCTTCTTCGTGCCCCCCAGAGCCGAGTGCAGGGCATTCAGAAACCAGGACAGAAAGTCGACTCCATCCCCTGGGAAAAAGGAAGAGGGAGGCACATCAAAGCCCAGGGACTATACCCAAAGCACAGCTCCATTCCAGGCTTCCCCACTCTGGCCATGCCATCCTGTCCCTGAGCATTCACTCCTAACTGACCACTAATGGTGGGCCCTCAGCAGGCATTCCTCAATGCCAAGCTCACGGTCTGCCCCTCTGCTTTCTCCCTAGGATCTAAGGAGATCCACATTAGGACCTAAAATCACTATCTCTGTCCCAAACCAGGGTCTTTACTTCAGGGGTGTCTAATTGAACAAATGAATAAGGACCTCTTCCCTGATCAGGCTTGCAATGCCTTCCTCCTGCTCTATCTTACGACAGCTCCTTGCTTAGCAGAGCCAGGAAGAGGCCTTCTCCTAGTGCCAGGATCAAAAATCTATCAAGAGCAGAACACAAGGGTTTCTGGGAGCCAGTAGCTTATGGAGTCCTCCTAATCCAAGGCTGTGGAAGAGGCCTGCCACCCAGATACTCTGGAATAATGGCTGATTCCTCGCCAAGAAAGATTTGCTTCAATTTTACTTCCTCACGCTGAGGAAGAGTCAGTGAAAGAGGCTAACCCTCACCGAGATGACAGACACAGTGACTGTAGCGAGTGGCCAGGGCATGGCAGGGATGGCATGGGAGAGGGCAAGGTTCCCACGGTTGCTTACCATTGTGGTCAGCCCAAGGACACCGAACACTTTCAGTATCTCCTCTAGTGGCTGCGTTACTTCTTTTACATGTTCCTCACGTAAAATGCCTTTATGTTATATGCCTTTCTTTCATTTTAACAAGAACTCCTTCATGTGTCTAAACACGAGGTAGCGAATACCCTGCCAGGCCTTAACATCGTACCTGGTAGGTGTGTGGTTATGACAGGACTGACCTGGGTATTTTCAGGTATTCTGATTTCCTGTGACTCGATCTTTGAAAACTACCTTTGTTTCCAAACCATATCAGAAGACAGGCATTGGGACCTGCAAGCTGAATCATCTGTGGATGTCAACAGTGATCCAGCCATGGCTGAGACTCGCTCTCAAAGCAAATGTAGCTTTAGTGTAAAAATTGGTTACCAGATATAGCTGCCAGAGAAATAAACATCCCTAAAAACAAGAGACCCCAGCAATCCTGACCAATGGCCCCGCCCTCCATATCATACACTGGGAAGCACTCAAACTAAGATGTTATCAGCCATGTTATTCTGAGCACCATCAATGGCTGTGTTTAAATAGTTGAATAACTTCTGCTCATTTGGGAATAAATAACAAGGTCTCTGAAAAGAATCTACCAAAGCAGGATTAAAGTCTAGTTCAAAGCATATGATCCACCTCAATATGCCTATCAGCTAATATCCTAAGGCCCCAAGAGCTCCAGAGTTGCTCCTGACCTATTTAGATTCCTCTCTTTATCTCCTTTCGTAAAAATCTCCAAGAATCTTAAAGGTTAAGGAGCCATCACTGAACTTCCCTTCCCCTCTAATTCACCCCCTAAGTAAGAGCAATGATTTTTAAATGTCACTTTGATGTCATACCTCCACATACAAGCCTGCACTGGCTCCTACTGTTGTCAATCCAAACTATTTATAATGGCACTGAAACCCAATCAACCAGGTCTGTCCCTCCCACCTCCTGACCTCCACCTCAACCTTCCACACTGCATCCCGGAACCCGGGGGGCCTGCTACTTACAGTGTCTTCTGTGGGTCAAATTCTCCAGCACTTCCATGCTTCTGGCTGCAAAGCCCTCCTTACTTGAAATGCTCCCTCTACCCTACCTTCGCTTCTACAGAAAATTCAGTGGTCTCCTTCTGCATGTCCTGATCCCAATCTACTTCCCATGTGCTGACCTGGAGGTCCCTGCCCTGCCCTGTACTATCATAGCACAGTCCACCTCCTCTATCACAAACAACACTGAACCAACAAAGCGCTCCTAAAAGGGGAAAGTGTCTTCGGTCCTCAAACTAGTTTTGCTGTCTTAAAGTCAGAGGCAAATGCATGACTTGTTTCTGACCTTGCTTGGTGATCTGAAAAGTCTTCTTGCTGCAAAGGACAACAGCCTGAAGCATTTCGTGAGGAGAGACGTGCGCCTTGAAATTGCGAGGGTTCCACAGCTTTCTCATCAGCTCTCCAAAACGCTGTACCAACAAGAACATGATATCCCCCGGAGGACGCTTGATGTTCTTATAATTGTCTTCTTCCAGAAAATAGTTGCGGAGAGGAGGGACATTAGACAGAGCCTAGAAGGAGGACACTCACAATCATCCCACAGCCCCTCATGGACTCTGTGGCACTGAGGCTATTCCCAGGAGAGCTGGGGACAGAAGTCCAGAGCCAGCCTGTGATGACTGTGACAGACTAGGAGTAAAAGAGGCCAGGAGAATCCCACAGAGCTGACACCACAGAAATATCCTTCACTGTATAGACACTTTGTTGGAGTGGACATAACAAAGAGTTAAAAACAAGCAATAAATGGCACGCAAACCCCTATTCACTTACCTGCTAATCTAATGATTTCCATTTTCGCTCTAACCACACCTGTGACTAACCTAACCCTGACTCCACAGGGAATTGGAGGCTAGAAACCTAAACACTCCTCCTTCGTCACCTACTTCAGCTGCAGCAGAGGCGACCGCTGGGGAGCAGTTTCATTATCTCTTAACTCCACTCATTGAACAAAATGTGATTGTTTTCCTAAAATGTAGAGTCGACATGATAATGAAATGATACAACTACAAATAAAAATGTATGTATCTGATGTAATCAAAAGTTTTGGGGAACAAAATTAAATTATATTTCATGAAGCAAAAAGAACAAAGGACAGCCATGTGAGTTGGATATATGCTGTCAGCTGGAACTATAAAAGTGAACAGATCAAAATAAAAACCCACTATTGTGGGAAGCCAAATTTCATATTAACTATTTCTAATAAACCAAATGCTATATTAGGATATGAGGGAGGTGTGGATATAAGCTGAAATTCACCCTGAAGCAATAAGACAGACTTTAGATGTTTACAGGAGTAAGCACTAAGGCAAACCTTAAGCATTTACAGGATTCTTGTATTTGCTAACCCTTCCCTCCTGAATCAAGCATAAGGTTTTCAATAGAGAGAGCTTAGTTTCATTTGCATAGAAGTCTCTTTGTGATTTGCTCCCTGGCAATTTTCAATTAAGGCACAGGGAAGCTGGGCTCAGCGTCAGTTGTTGGAACTGCTCGCCTCCTGCTTTATGTCTGTATTTTCTCCTTTTGTCTCGTTATTAATACACTTTACCCTCAGTTCGCAATTACGTACTATGCACTGGAAAGTTGGACAGTGACTAGGAATGACTGAAAGAGAATTGATGCCTTTGAGCTGCAGTGCTGGAGAAGAGTGTTGAATATACCATGGACTACTAGGAGAACAACAGGTTTGTCCTGGAGAGGGTGAAGCTAGAATGCTCCTTGGAGTCAAGGATTCTGAAGCTTCGTCTGACATACTTTGGGCATGTTACAAGGAGGGACTGGTCCTTGGAGAGGGACATCATGTTTGGGGGAGTTGAGGGATGGTGCAGCAGAGGAAGATCCTTGATGAGATGGATTAATTCTGTGATTGGGGTAGCAGGAATGACTCTGACAGGTGAGGTTGGCATGGAACAGTGTTTAGGCTCTTGTACACAGGGCCATATGAGTTGCAAACAACTTGACGGCACATAATCACCACCACCACCTTTGGTCTATAACACAGTGTGACCTCAAGTCCCATCCTTGGGGGTTCAAGACTCCTGAGCAGTGCTGGACTCACTAGTAGCCCGTGTTTCTTTGGTGAGGCAATCCATATAAAAATTCAAGTTTATCTAAATACAGTAAGTCCAGGGAGCTCTGAGGAAGACAACTCAGTACACAAGCAACTCTAATCAGAGGTGATGGAGAAAACAGCAACGAGCTATTGGCTAAAGCTATTGGCTAAAGAAAGACTAAAGAAAGAAGGACTTCCTTCTCAGAGCATAACTGCTTCATAAAAGATTACTCTCAAAAGAAGAGTGTGTGCACACCCATGTTTATTGTGGCTTTGTTCACAAAAGCAAAGAGTTGGAAACAACCTAAGTGCCCATCAACAAATGAATGGACACAGAAGCTGTGGTATATTCACACAATGGAATACTATGCTGCACTGAAAAACAAAGAACTCATGAAATATTATACAAAATGGGTGACACAAGAGGACATTATGCTGAGTGAAATATCTCAGTCACAAAAGGACAAATATTGCATAACGCCACTGTTGTAAAACGGGACTGACATCAGGGTTGAGGGGAGACTGAGAGGGAATAAATAATGTATACTGCATTGAAACAGATGAGGGGGAAAACTATTTAAAAGCGATATATGATTAGGAATTATTATGACAAGAGTCCAGAATGAAGGCTGCATAGTGGAATGGACTTGGGGGGAGGGATTGTATAACAATGAAAGAATGTTTCTTTTACTTTTCAAAGAGAAGAGCAAACTGGGGGGAGAGATGGGCAGGGAGAAAAATGCAACAATGAATGAATGGAAATCCAAAGTCTCTGTAAAGTTTCATTAAAATTAATTTTTTTAAAAAAAAAGAATATGGATAAAAAAAATTTCCAAATTTTCAGTTGTCTACTTTGTGTAAAAAGGTTGCTCTCTGGCACCTATGCTCTAAAACAAGGTCCATCCTTGTTAGAACACCACCACCACAAACAACAGCAGGGACCTCAGAGAGAGATCCGGACATGGATAGACCTGATCCACTCAACCCAGTCCTATTTCAGCTGAAACATCATCAATGAGTTTATTCACCTCATTGTTTTTATAAGGGAATTTTTCATGCATTAAAATCAAGACCAAATTACTGGAACACACATCTTGTCTGTCCAGCATGCAAGAGTTTTCAGAGAGTTGCATGATGAAATGTTTCTCTCCACCTAAGGATCTGACAGTCCTAGAGACTGACCCTGACATCAAAACTAACAGATATGGCTATACAATTGTTTTCCTGATTCTTTATGGAAGATTAAGTTTAAAGGCAAAATAAGAATTGCCAGGAACTATTTATAGGGTGACATATAGACTCAACAACACATAACAACAAAAACATACTATATTTGTTGTTTTTATTTAAGTCCACAAGACCCTGCGGAGGGCCTTTGTCTTTAAAAGTCGGTTGTTACTATATTTTCGAGGAGCATTCTTCTAAGTGATATAGCACACTTTTGTCAATATGCTGTACTAAGGTAAGCTGGGGTTGCTGTGATGCTGAATCTTGTGCCACTGGGGTGTCAAATGGCATAAAGTTACCCACGATGGACAGTGTTTGGTGGAGCTCTCAGTTTTAAGACAGATTTGGAAGCAGGAGCACATCCACTTCCTAAACAACATGCCTCTGGAAACTCTATGAACTTTGATAAATAACGAGAGTTTTAGAAAGGCTTCAGGCCTTTTGTTCAGGCGTTCGCTATGAGTCGTGCTCCACTTAATGGCAATCAACAACAACATATTTAACAGGAAAAGGCTAATGTCTTTATTATATAATTATTAAAATGCAGTAAGATGACCCACTACTTCAAAGTACCAAAGACTCAAAGCGCTCTCTGACGGCACTGTGACTAAAGCATTCAGCCAATAACCACAAGGTTACCAGCTCAAATTCAACCACTACTCCACAGAAAAAAGGTCTGGCAGTACGATCTTTAAAAGCTTTGAAACCAAGGAGCTTAATGCTTTTGGTATGGTTTTCAGGCCCAAAAGCTCCAGAAAAAACACACAGATAGTCATACACATTGAAAAGTTAAATCAGCTTAAGAAATGATCCAAAAAAGCACAATATGAAGAATGCTATTAAAATGGCTATACACACACAGACACACACTCTTCACTTTTTAAAAATACTAACAGTGACAACATAAACTAAAAGAACACTCTTCAATGTCGCTGACAGATGTATAAATAGCTACAAATACAAAATGTTTTTCTCCCATGAAATACACACAGACACACACTCTTCACTTTTTAAAAATACTAACAGTGACAACATAAACTAAAAGAACACTCTTCAATGTCGCTGACAGATGTATAAATAGCTACAAATACAAAATGTTTTTCTCCCATGAAATATATGGGGGTTTAAGTGGTTTTTCATTCACAACCACATGTTTTAACCACTAAGCCACCAGGACACTTTAACATAAGAATAGGTAACAGATTAAGTACCAATAATTTTTTTTTAAATTACCAATAACATGAAATAAGAATGTTACAAATTACAAGAATAGGGCCCTTAGTCATCTTTCTTACCTGAAACAACCCTAAATGTAAACATAGTATTTACTTACTGTGTTTACAGTATTTAGCCCATTGGTCCCTCTCTAAGACAAACAAACCTGTTTGTAATAGGGAGGCACTCATTCCTTAGAATAACCAACCAGTAGGGTCAAAAGAGTAGCATCTGCCCAAGAATAAAGCCCTGAAGGCAGAAAAGAATAGAAAGATGAATGAAAATGAGAATTATAAGGAAGAAGCAGGTAAAGTACTGATTACATTGGGGGTAATGTAATCAATGTCAGGAAACAAAATGTGTATGAATGGTTAAATGAAAAACCAATCTGCTTTATAAATTTTTACGCAAATAAAAATTATTTTTAAAAAATTAACAACAAAAAAGAAATGTTATGTACTCCTTTACCATGAGACCAAAAGTAATAGGTGTCACCATTACAAATAATTTTGATTCACACCCAATGGTTGAATCTTGATCAAAAAGAGGAAAATGTTGAACAGCAGTTCTTACAAAATGGATAGTCTTAAAAAAACAAGACTTGCTGGATTCATGGAGACTAGACAATAGATCTAGAGTTACCGTTGATCTTATATACATAATCTTTTAAAAGTAAGCAATGTTCAGGGCATTCTTTATTGAGTCAAATTGTTATTTAGTTTAAAGACAATTTTTTTTTTATTCATGATGTAAAGTTGTTTTAGAGTCAAGAGTTACAGGGATTGTAAATCTTTTTAAAAACAGATGTGCCTCATTTTTCTTCTGTGGAATCAATGGTTTGTTCAAACCACTGGACATAAGGTCAGCATCTTTAACCACTATGCCACCAGAGCTCCACTTAAGACATATATGTTAGTTTACAAATAAAAAGGAAAGTCAGGTACACTTTGAAAGTCCAGAAGAAAAATATAACAAAATGTAACTATGTCACAAAAAAAAATAAGACTTATCTGTAAAGGAATATTCCCTGCAGCACTGAAAACAGAGAAATAAAGGTAAGGCAAGTTACACTTTTGCCAACAACTGAGGAATCACAAAATAAGAAAGGTTGTAGACGCAAGCTCCAGAGGCTGAGGGACAATACAGGGAAGGGAGACAACAAAGCCCGCTTTCATTTTTGTACTTTATACACTTCCCCAGTGAACCTCTATTTATCTTTGAATTTTTTTTGGAACAAACTTTCTTACTTATGCCTTATGTCTATCAACATTTCCTACTTTTTCTACAACATCTACATATTCCTTATTACAATAACAACACTTTTCACTGAAAACAGGACAACGCTGGTTTTCTACCTTATCCATCTTGGGGCATAACCTCAGGGCATGAATGAGACATAATGACCATCTACCCCATTTAAAACTACTGTCTAGCACATCTGTTCCTTACATGGTTTGTCCTGACAACTATCAGACCCCACCCCTCAGGCTTAGGCAAGCAGGCCCTTGAGCACATACAGGAAGGTACCACTTTTTGCAGGACAAATAAGCAAGTAACGTCCTCAGTAGCACTTAATGTCTACAGAACATTCAATGACACTCGGTGAAGGAGTATGATTTCCTGGCTGACCTGTACACCGTTCCCAGACTACTTTCTCATTGTCAGTGTTTCCATCTGATCTTACCTGAAGGACAGCGTTGGCATAATCGTTGGCCTTAATATTATTTAGTCCCACGATACCAGGCAGGTAAGTGGTGCCATCATAAGCCCGGGATAATTTGGCTTGCTTGTCTAAGTTGGCAATTTGCTGCTTCGTGAAAGTGGGTTTCAACACATACTGGAAGCAGAGGAGAATTCTTAGTTGGTGCAGGACTACAAACAGAATTCATAAAACAGACAAAATATATCTGGAACAGCAACTTCATGTAAAAACAGTTCAAATGCAGTGTGAACATCTGACCACACCTGGAAAGTTCCCACTAGTCAGTATAATGCCCACACTACCAATCTAGCAGGGAACTCAGCTCCAAATCACTGACACTCAGTCCTCCTCAGACCTAGGCTCCAAGAGAAAGGATGCCAGAAGTCACAGATCACTCTGAGGGCTGAGCCCTGGTGTGATCACACAGGGTCAGGACACCTGTCCAGCTCAGGACATAGAGTGCTCCTCACCTCTGGGTAGGACTGAGGATCCCTGAGGCTCCCTGTGACTGAAGGTGTGGTGTCAGCATCCCCAGTTACAGAGCCAGCCGTGGGGGTCAGTCAAACACCCTAAAGACCGAGGAAGAGAATGTGACTAACTCACTTTGCATACTTGACTTCAGCCCCTCCCTTATAAATTTACACAACAGTCCATTCTATTGTAATCTCAGGTATTAACAAACTTAATAAACTTTTAAAGCAGAATAAGTACTTTTCCTTAAAAAGAAATACGTACCCACTTACTGAAAAAGAAAAACAATAAACAACAGTTTCAATGTTAATCCACATGAAAGCTCAAGAGGACTTGATACATTTTCCATTTAGTACAGTGACTTCTGGCACAAGTCACAATCCGAAGTCACAAATGGCAAATGAGGGCTATTCTGGCTGCATCCTATGTCAGATGTAGTCAAAAGAATGATACCCACTATCCTACAAAATCCCAAATCAAAGCCTTACTAGAAAATGTGGAAGGATAACTAATTTCACAAAAATGCTTTAGCCTCATCTACCAAATGCTCTGAAACAAAGGTTTCCCAGCAAACAGGTAATTTAAACACTTACAAGAAATGTTCTACATCTAAATGAATAAACTGACATTCTGATTTAAAAAAAAAAAAAAACACAAAAAACCCAAACAACTTTAACTCCAAGTAGAAAGCAGCCATGTTTCTTTGGTTCCAGACCTCAACTGTTAAAAAGCAGAAATGAAAACTGCAAGATGCAATCATGAATCCTAACCTCCCTACTGGGTTTTTCAGGTTCTGCTCGCCAGGAATGAAGCCTCTCCAAACCCAAGGGCACAAGAGTCTTCCCTGGTATAGTAGGCCCCAGGGGACCTTGAGGAGGGTCCCATCAGAACCAGCTCAGTGGGTTAACTTTCCCATAAAGACTGGCTCCTGATACAAACCGTGATATCTTCCAGCGAGGAATCGATGATTTCGTAATTGTCTGGAAGGCAGTAAAACTTCAGAGTGTGGAGGTTGAGGAAGACATGGTGGCTAAACTGGACACTATGAATGTAGGCATGAGACTTCAAACCTCGGCCTGTAGGAAGGATAAAAAATGTACATGCAGTTACACATGTACATGTGCATGTACTCATGTATACCTGCATTATGAGTGTGAGTCTATCTATCTTCTATGACCGTTCACCATAACTTGGTCCAGAATTTTGGGGCAATCCTGCCCCTTCAAGGTACCTGTTTATACTTTCTTTTCAAGCATTTTGCCCACTCAAATCCTGTCTGTCTTGCCAGTTCAAGTTCCACCTCCACCCCCTCCACGAACTTCATTGTAACATGGATCTCTCCTTGTTTACAATTCCTTCTGCTGTAAGCTGTACTCGGTGCCACTTTGTTTGGCAGTAATCCTATTGTCTCCCAGAGCTGACTGCTTTCTGTACTAACTCTAAATTCTTACTAGAACTAGAGTTGTTTACTTCTTTAAAATGCTCCCTTCTACTATACATGCAGCATCTGTTTGGTCTGACTGAACAAAAAATAGTCCATTCTCAAAAATGAACAAATGCAAAAAAAGTTCTTAAAGCAAAATGATTTTCAGGAAAAGGCACAAACATAAGAAACATCAGTGACTCAGAATCTCTGTGAGCCCCTACACAGTCCTTCACACGTGCACTCTTTCTCCTTTCAGATATATTCAGGTGCTGACCAGAGGGCATCCTGTTGGCCGAAGAGCAAACATCAACTAACATAAAGATTATCGCATAATCTTCCTTTTTTTTAAAAAAAAAAAGTCAAACAAGCAAAGCTCTGGAGCTGCCCTGTGCAGAGTATTTATAATATTTATTTACTTACCCTGAAAGTATTTGCCACACACCAAACAGGCATATGCGTTAATATGGGAGAGGGAGATGGAGCACAGTTTCTCAAAGTCAAAGTCCAGGACACTCCTGAAAGAACAACAACAACAAAAACCCAACAACAATTAATTGGGGTATATGGCCAGGAAGGCATTCCAGTGAGAAGCCCTAAGTCTGAATTCCACACCAAGAAACACATTTCTAGAGAATGGTTCAACAACTGGATATAAATTATGGGAAACAGCAACCACTCCTCACCCTTCCTCTCCCAAGGCAGTGCCAAGATGGCTCCACCAGACACTACGCCCATGACCCCCTTTTCCACTACAACTTGTCAAGGCCCTTTAATTGCTGTCATTTTCTCTGAAAGAAAATACCAAACTGGACTAAAGAAACAGCACCCAAACAGTATCCCATATTATAAGACCAGGGATAGGGGAGTCTCAATACTAGCAAGAAAGAAGCAGCAACGTGCTGCATGTCCATGTGGAACACAGATTCCTGCCCAAGACAGACCAGGATCAGACCAAGACCAGAGGAGTGAGAGCAGCAGCAGCAAAAGTAGAGAACCAAAAGGCAACGTGAGACAGAGTAGAACTGAGCTTCTGTCTTTAGAGCCAGAGCAAAGGGCCTGTGTCCACGCATGCTGGGGACTCGGTGGCTCAGGGCCTGTGTTTACACTTGCTGGAGACTCGATGGCTCAGGGCCTGGGTCCATGCTTGCCAGGAGACTCGGGGACCAAGGGTTGGTGTCCATGTTTGCCAGGGGAATTGGGGGCTCTGAAGGTCCATGTGCACATTCGCTGGGGACTCAAAGGCTGAAGGTCTATGTCCACGTTTGCCAGGACTCAAAGCCTAATATCCACACTTGCTGGGGACCTGTGGGAGGGGGATGACCTGGAGCGATGAGAGGGCCAGCAAGCACGCCTAAGCTCTCCTAACCAAAAATCTATAACCAGTTTCAGCCTGAACTGTAACCTGTTAACATCTCTACTATACCACATAATCGGTAGGGGGTCGGGGGCAGCAGAGGGATAGTGAGAGTCAAGGATAAAAAATGAGTGAAAACATCCTTTCATAAAACTTACTTTTTATAAAAGTTTATTTCCATTAAAATTTATTTTTGCCCATAAAAGTAAACAGAAAGTGTGAAGAATTTATGGGAATACCCACAAACAGATCTATTTATACATGTGCAAAGCAACAGTAAGAATGTGAGTAAGGGACAAAAAGCAATCTTCACCAAGTTTGGAGATGACAAAACCATGTATTCTTAAGTATCAAATCATAATTAATTGGGAATGGTCCCTTAGAGTTGCCTGCCCAATAAAAGCCACCAGCCATGTGTGGTTATTCATGTATAAAATTTTTAAAATTAAACTAAATAAAATTTTAAATTGTTTCTGGGTCACACACATGCAGTCCTTTGACTGCCTTGCTGGACAGTTTTGTTACTCTACTTCTGTTCAAAGTTCTCTTGAGCAAACTAAAAGCATTTCAAGACACGACCTGAGCTCAGGATCATGATGACGTAAGTATCTCTGCTTTAGGATAAACTTAGTCTGTTTCCCATCCACTCACTAACCTGCTGAATCCCAAGCATCTAAAATAGTACCTGACACACACATGGGCACTTAACAAATATTTAATGTCATTTTTCCTGGTTGGTGAGGGCTGAGGGTCAGCAAGGCCGAGCCATGGTGTTCACTGATGGCACTTGTTACTAACAATGACTTTCCTATAACAACCTGGCCTTTAAAGGATCTGACCGTGTTGTGAGATGAGGAGTGGGGGTACAAGGCAAAGAGCACACTTTTCTCAGCAGAAACCTTCAGAAGGGATCATTTTAACATGCTGCCCGAAGACTTACTGCATAGTCTGCACTGCTTTTGTTGCTCCCGCACCCATCATCCTACTGACCTGTTGATGGTGTCCAGGTATGGGCAGTGGCGGCTCCTCCGGTCCTCAGAATCCACTCGGCCATTCTTAGCTGAAAGTAGAGTCATCACAGGCTTTGGAGATCAGAAACATAAACAACTCAACAGAAAAACGGGTCAAAGATGTAAAAAGATATTTTCTTTTTTCTTTTAAAAGATTTCTGGAAAGAAGAATACAGTCTACTGATGTAAAAAACATACTCAACCTCATCTACAAATGGCATTCTATTTCACAACCAACAGGGAGGAAAAAATAAAATTTGAATATTCCAAATGTTGGTGAATGTGTGGAGCAGCAGGGACACTCAAGGATAGCCAGTGGAGGTATACGCAGGGAGGACCTTTCAGAAAATCAGGCACTGTCTAAGCTATCCTTCAATGAGATGGATGGATAGTGACTGCAGCAAGGGGCTCCAGTATGTCAGAGATGATGAAGACGGCAAAAGACAGAGCTCAGATCTTTTGTGCACAGGGTCACCATGAGACTACCCAACGGCATCTAACAACAGCAGCAGCAGCATCAAAGCTAAGAACACACAGACTCTCTGACCCAGCAATTTCAGCTTTACTTAAACATCCTACAGGAACTACTACACACATGTACCAGGAGAGACTATTTTTAAATATTCATAGCAATAGTATTTAAGAAAAGTTAAAAATTGGCAAGAACCCAAATGTTCATCACAAATTTATTAAATAAAAAAAAGTGAAGCTGGGTGACGAGAAAGGCAGTGAGTATAATCAGCACAGCATCCCCAAACAAAGGGAAGACAAGAGGCGCACACAGATGCAGTCCACAGTGGTGAACACGTCCATCGAACCCGATGTCAGCAGCAGCAGCAAGCAGATGGATCCACAGGCAGAAAGCAAGCGGAACACATATACCAGGTGAAAGGAACTACACCCACAACCATGTACAGGTTTGGAAAGACAATATTTCTACATTGTTGTTGTTGTTGTTAAGTGCCATCGAGTCATCTATAATATAGTCATGTACATAGCACAGTCAACAAGTGGTAAAGTTATATAAAATTCTTAATCATAACCAAAGGAAGAAATTGTGGGTGCGAGGGCCTCAGGATCACAGTCGCAGGGGACATCAAGATCCACTAAAATGATACAGTCCGTCCCCTAAACCATAGTCTAAATCCTTTTTCACTGAGTAGCAACTAGGTCCTGAAGGATTGCAAGTAGCTGTTCAAGGTGCAACTATTGCTATCTCCTTGTTTGGACAAAACAATAAAGAACATCACAAAGAAACAAGTGGTCACACAAAGAAACAACTGGTTACCTATGGACACATGGAAATAATTGATCCAAAGGGCTAATGTTGTTGTTGTTGTTGTTGTTGTTGTTGTTGTTATGTACCGTCGAGTCGCTTGCGACTCATAGCAACCCTATGAACAGCAGCTCTAAACTCTGCTCTGTCCTTTGCCAATCTCATTGTCTCCAACACACTCATCCCGATTGCCCCAGTCACCGAATCAATCCATCTCCCAGAGGTCCTTCCCCTCCTGCACCTGCCCTTCACCCTCCCAAGCATGATGTCCCTCTCCAAGGACCAGTCCCTCCTTACAACATGACCAAAGTATGTCAGACGAAGCCTCAGAATCCTTGCCTCCAAGGAGCAGCCAGGTTTAACCCTCTCCAGGATGAATCTGTTTGTTTTCTTAGCAGTCCATGGCACTCTCAGCACTCTTCTCCAACACGAAAGCTCAAAAGCATCAATTCCATATAAATGTTAACTTGAGACAAATGAGTGGTGCTCGGTTATCACTGCTGACTGCTCCAAAAGTGATCACACCAGAGCTCCCCAAGACTATCAACATCATAAGGGACTCTGAAGCTTGCACCAGTAGCAGAGAGGCTAAAACCAAAAAGCAAGAAAGAAGAAAAGATTTCAAAGGGCAGTTCAAGAAGACAAAGCAAAGCATTAAAATGGAATGGGCAAGGACCTAGAGTTAGAAAGCCAAAAGAAAGAAAATTCAGCACTTCTCAAGCAGAGTACAAATTTAAGCTTTGAACTGAAATAATGAGATGCTACACGCAAAATCCTGAACGATGTAGGAAGCATAAAAAGATGGAAGAATCACACAGAGCCACTAAACCAAAAAGACCTGGTCAACACTGAACCATTTCAGGAAGTAGCTTATGATCAAGAATCAATGGCAATGAAGGAAGGCATGTAAATTACACTGAAAGCATTGGCAAAACATAAGGCCCTAAGAATTGATGGAATACCAAATGACACACTTTCAACAAAGTAATGTAGGCCTAGATGTGCACATTAGTCCATGCCAAGAGATTGGAAGATAACTAACTACCTGGCCAACTAACTGGAAGACTCTCATATTTGCTCCTATTCAGAAAAAGGTGATCCACTAAAGTGTAGACATTATCAAACATTATTAATATCACATGCAAGTAAAATTTTGCTGACGAGTATTTAAAAATGACTAGATAAGGACATGAACAGGCAGGAAACTGCTAGAAACTCAAGTTCGATTCAGAAGAGGCTGTGGCAGGAAGAATATCACTGCTGATGTCAGACTGATTTGGGCTGAAAGTGAAGAATACCCGAAAGTAAGCAAAGGCTTTTGATTTTATGGATCACAACATATTACAAATAACACTGAGAAGAATGGGGATTTCAGAACAGTTAGTAGTGCACAAGTAAAATATACAGACACATCAAGAAGAAATTGTTCAAACAAAAAAGAGAACACAGCATGATTTAAAATCAGGAAAGGTGTGCTTCAAGGTTGATCCTTTTTTCTTATCTATTCAATCTATATGCTGAGGAAATCATTCAAGAAGCTCAACTATATGATGAATGCAGTGTCAGGATTGGAGAAAGACTCATCAACAATGTGCATTTCGCAGAAGACACAATTTTGCTTGCACAAAATGAAGAAGACTTGAAGCACTTACCACAGCAGATCAGATCCCTAGTACGGATTATATGTCAACATCAAGAAAGCTAAAATCTTCCGGAATCAACACTCACAGTAACAGAAGTCAAAAACTAAAAAAATGCATTGTGACACGCACAACACACAAGGATTCAACACAACAAAAGGAGTTTGAGTGAGAACTATTATTAATATAATTCGTTTGGAAGCCACAGGAACAGCAAGCCGCAGCAGGAACCGCCAGCCAAGCCTCAGTGGGACCGACCCCCAAGCCAGGAGCAAGCAGGACAGTGGGAATGAAACTGAGTTTTCTTAAGCCCAAACAGACTCAGAGCCCTGCAGAACCCAGAGTCCTGCTGAGCAAGAGCCTGACAGCGGAAATTTGAGTGAGGTCCCCACAAGAGCCCATTCAGACAGCTGGAATCTGAGTGAGGCCCCTGCACGTGCCTGCCCCAAGCTTGTTCTGCCCCACATCCATGCCTCCACACCAGTCAACTAAACTGTCCTTAATCTGGAGTGCCTTGGTCTGACTTAGCTACAACAAGAGGTTGTTCTCACAGGCCCTGAACTGAACTTTCCCTTGGGTCAGAAGTTCAGAGAGAGAAACACAGGCAGGGTAGCTGCTTCACTCTCTTCTAGAGCAGTGAATTCAAAGCAAGAACCTATTTTCACCTCAGGCATGAAAAACTCTACCACAGCAATGTCACATAAGAAGCAGGTTATCCACACTCTATATAAGTGCAAAGCAAGATGTCACCCCCAAAAAGTGAGACAGTATCAATGGACTGATTTCCTGAAGCCAGAAAATCTGATGGAATTTTCTAACACAGACTTTATAAGAACAATGATTGAATATTTTGAATGGATGAAAGACATATTTGAAGAATTACAGGGCACTGAAAAAAAAAAACAAAACAAAAACAAGGAGGAGCTGAAAAAAATCCAAAACAATGCAGATAAAACAAACAAGACATTATAGGTACTGGAAAAAACAAGAAACCACAATTCAAAATATGAGGCCCAATGTTTCAGATGCTGTCTTACATGATGGAGAGATACATAAAAAGAGTTGACGAGATGGAACACAAAACCAATGAAATAGAAGATAGAATTGTCAACACTAATATGCTAGAACAAAAAGCAGAATCAAAAAGGAAGGAAAAAGAAGAAAACCTAAGAATATTGTGGGACACCATCAAGAAAAATAACATGCACATCATCAGAATCCCAGAACAGGAAGAAGCAAATAAAGGCACTGAAAAAGTTGTGGAAGAATTACTAGAAGAAAACTTCCCAGGTGTAATGAAGAATAAGAGAATATTTGAGAAGTTGAGCAAATACCATATAAAATAAACATCAAAAGAAAAACACCAAAGCATATCATAGTCAAATTTGCCAGAACCAAAGATAAGGAGAGAATTCTGGAAGCAGCTAAAGAGGAACCTATAAAGGAGAACAGAAAAGACTAAATGCTGATTTCTCAAGAGAAACCACGCAATCAGAAAACCAGTAAAATGACATATATCAAACACTCAAAGAACAAAACTGTCAACCAAGAATACTGTACCCAGCAAAATTGTCCATCAAATACGGAGAGATCAAGATATTCTCAGAAAAACAGAACCTAAGGGAGTTTGTAAAAACAAAACCAGCATTGCAGGAAACACTGAGAGATGTCCTTCTTACAGGGGTGCCACAGAAAGCAGGATGGACCAAAGTAACTAGCAACACCAAAAAGAACTCAACAAAATGATGGCAATAAAACCCTGCCTCTCTCAATAATCACACAGAACGAGAATGGTTTAAATGCACCACTGAATAGAAAAAGAGTAGCCGATTGGATAAAAAACACAAAATTCATCAATATGCTGTCTACAAGAGAGATACCCGAAAAATGAAGATAAAGACTAAAAATAAAAGGGTGGGGAAAAATATACCAAGAAAATAGTAACCAGAAAAAAAGCAGGAGTAGCTATATTAATCCCTGATAAAATAAATTCCAATGCAAAAACCATCAAAAAGGACAAGGAAGGCCACTACATAATGCTTAAATGGTCAAGAGGACAAGAGAACATAACAATAATAAGTATCTATGCAGAAAGTCAACAACTGCAGCCTCCTATATGGACTGAAGCTCAACA